CCACCTTTGGCTGCTGCACCACTCTCCTTGGATTCACATGCCTTGCTGGTCTCTCCAAGATTGCAGTCGTTCGAGTCACTCTTGGTGTCACTTTGCTTTCCGTGATCACCGCCACCAACCGCTTCACTCTTGGTGCTGATGCTTGCTGCCACTTGCCTCTCCTTAGGCATGGGGACCACTGGGATTTGCCACATTTCATTGTAGATGTCCCTGTCCTCATGAAGGTCCCAAAGCTTCCGCTCACCAAGCCGCGCGGTATAAGTTTTGGATCCCTTGGAAGATGTGTCCATGCCGGCCTTTTGCAAACGCCGCACAGAAATCAGGTTGGCTGCAAGGTTGGGCACCCAAAGCACGTTCTTGAGGCCCACCATCTTCCCATCAGCACCCTTGAACATGGCCTTGCCCATGCCTTTCACCTCTGCTCGCTGCCCCAAAGCCGATGTGACATGCTTGACCGGCGACGGTTCGAGTTCGGTGAGCAAGTCCGCACGAGGTGTCATGCTATAGGTGGCGCCGCTATCGATCACCCAAAAGTCCAGAGAGTGAAAGGTGACCTTTCCCACAGTAGCTGGCTCCTCAAAGTCTTCCACACCTCCTGCTGCAGCTGCCGCTTGCGTGGAGACAAAGAAGAATTGGCCCGGGTATCGATCTTCACTCGGGCCCGTCTCGTAGTCTCCACCTTTCATGCATGCCGCTTCGCTTCCACGACCACCACGGCCTCCACTACCTCTGCCTCTTCCTCCCCTTGCTCCTCTGCCCTCTTGGCCTTGAGAAGGGGTCCATCCATCAGGCAATCTGTAGCAATCTCTCCACATGTGGCCGGTCTTGTGGCAAAAGTGGCATTCGCCATCAAATCGACCGCGCCCACGCCCGTAGCCATTGTTGTTGTTGTTGCTGCCATATCCTCCATTACCACGGCCTCCATTGAAGTTGCTGCTGCCAAATCTTCCTCCTCGCCCTCTGCCCCTTCCACGGCCGTGCCCATGGCCCATGCTTGCAACTCCGGCACCATCGGTACCCGCCAATTCACGACGGCGGAAATCTTCTTGTAAGATTTCCCGCTTCACATCTTCGAGCGAGAGGCGGGGCAGATCTCGATTTAGGTTGATGATGAGCGAGGACCATGAGTCCGGAAGCAAGGCCAGCAGCTTGGTCTTCTTTTGAAGGTCACTGTAGTTCAGGTCAGCTCCTTCAAGCCGTGTCAACAAGTCGAAGAATTTCTGCACTCCGTCCTCCACCGGTTCGCCTTCGTCAATTCGAAGGGCCGCCATTTGCCGCTCCAAAACCACAGCCACCGCCGCTGTTGCAGGAGCGTGTACACCCTTGAGAGCAGCCCATGCCTTTGGTCCCTTTGCTGGTTCACGCTGAAAAGGCTTGATGTGACGGATTTGGCTGCTCCCCAACGCTTGCCCAAGTAGAAGATAGCCTTGTGCGCTCTTCCGCACCCACGGGCTCTTCTCCGGGTCGTTCTCGGGGCGCTTCTCCGTTCCTTCCATCACCTCCAGCAGATCATAGTGGTCAAAGATGTTCTCCATCTTGAAGGACCACTCAGAAAAGTTGTCACCGTTGAACTTGTCAAGGCCAAACACTCTAGGCTCATCCCTAGAGGGGCCAAGGCTAGGTTGCACGGGAGCCATGGGTGGATCTTGGTGTTGACCTTGTGCTTGGGCGTCTTCTCTGCCTCCAGCACCTCTGCCACCCCCTTCCTCAGATCTAGGCATGGTCGAGACAGCTCCAAGGGGCTCTGATACCACTTGTTATAATCACAATAGGCTCAGATGTGCCTAAAATGAGAGAAAATGTGCACAGTCAGAATTCCGTCAGCCAGCTTCAAATATTGATGCCGATCTGATGTATGCCTCAAACGGTGATCTGTAAATTGGATCTGGAGCGTGTTGTTGTCGCCTCTCAGCAGCAAGTTGAATCATAAAATTCCATGAAGATTTCACGACGCTATGGCGGTTTGACTGGCAGGAGGTACAGCAGCCACTATAGTCTTAGGAGTACAAAAAACTTAGGAAGAAGAATTCGAGAGGGAGATGGTTCCCAGCCTCTACATACCCCAAGAGCCGAGGTCCAGGTTGGTGGTACACCACCACAGAGTCCCCAACCACGAAGAGTCTCAAAACAAACCCTCCAAGGGGCTACACCAAGTGAAATGTAACACTACACGAAGTAGCGTTACTATTTTCACTATTTAATATTTATCAGCGTCCCTTGGGCTTGAAATCTTGAGCTCTTGGTCTTGGTTCTTCAAGATAAATTCTTCTTGAGTTGATGGGGGCTTGCTGCACACACCTGCGACGCGATGGACACTTCACACTTGACAAAATAGAAAAACACATGCGACACGCAACGACGACTTGACATGCGAGTTGTAAAAACTCACTAATGTCTTGACCGACACACACCACATTGTGAGACACCATTCAAACACACACAGAAGCACTAGATAGCAATGACATAGACTCACAAGTCATTCCATGCCATGCATGCACACACACAAGCACGGACGACAAGCCGAGTGCAAGCCATAGGGTTGCACCAACATGTTCCGGCCCAGCCGTCGCAGCAGCCGCTGCAGCCGTCGCCGCCAGTCTCCGCTCTCCGCCTGCTCGGCCTTCCCTCCCCTGACTGCTTGCCGGTGTCTCCCCCACCGCCTTCCGACTTTCCTGTCTACGGTCCTGTGTTCCCGCCGCCGGACTCGTCTCCGGCCCGTCTTCCTCCTCGTTCCCCTCCTTTGTCTCCCCCACTGTCTCCTGACCCTACACCCCCGTCCCATGTTTGGTCTCGCCGTCCCTCCCCTGCTCGTCCCGTCTCTCCTGCCCTGCGCTCCCACCCTATGTTGCTCCGTTCCCACTCGTCTCGTCCTCCCCTCCTCCTGTCCCTCCTCCCTCATCGCTTGCTGTTGCACCTCCTCCGTTGTCTGACTACCTCCGTGCCGCTCGTCCCCTTGTCCCTCGGGTTCTTGCCTCTCTTGTTACCGACCCTTCTGTTCCTGTCTCGCACCTTGACGCGCTTGTCGCTGCTGTCGCTGACTTCGCCTCTACCTGCCGCCTTGACTACGCTACCGCTCTGGTCTCTGACCCTGCCCGTCCTCCGTCCATCGGGGGTGCTCCCGCCCTTGGCAGTGACGTTCTAGAGGACAGGCAGAACGAGCTTGCTTTCCTTTCCGAGGCCGCTCCCCATCTCTGCTCCATACTGTTAGTCCCTGAGGGTGACCCAGACGCCTTCGACATCCCGACCCCTCGCACCTACGCTGAGGCCACCTCGGGACCTTGGGCCTCTCAGTGGGTAGCTGCCATGGAGCAGGAGATGGCATCTTGGAGGTCCACCGGCACTTACGTCGACACAGTTCCCCCGCCTGGGGTGAACGTAGTCGATGGTCGGTGGCTCTTCGAGGTGAAGCGCCCCCCTGGAGAGTCGCCTGTCTTCAAGGCGCACTACGTGGCCAGAGGCTTCAGTCAGCGCGAGGGGGTTGACTTCTTCCAGACCTTTGCCCCGACCCTGAAGATGACCACTCTTCGAGGGCTGCTACACGTAGCAGCACAGCGCGACTACGAGCTTCACTCCCTCGAGTTCTCTATTGCCTTTCTTTAGGGCAGCCTACACGAGCAGGTCTACACGCGCCGACCACAGGGCTTCACTGGTACCTTCCCCCCTGGGACCCAGTGGCTTCTCAGGCGCCCAGTCTACGGCCTGCGTCAGGCTCCCCGCGAGTGGCATGACACGCTGCGGGCCACGTTAGCAGACCTGCAGTTCTTTCCGTCCTCTGCAGACCCCTCGCTTTTTGTGTGTTCCGGCCAGACTCCGTTCTACATCCTTGTCTACGTAGACGACCTGGTCTTTGCTACTGCTGACAGGGACGCACTGGCCTCAGTGAAAGCTGAGCTGCTGAAGAGACACACCTGCACTGACCTTGGAGAGCTGCGTCGCTATCTTGGCCTGCAGATCTCTAGGGACAGAGCAGCACGCACCATCACTCTGACACAGTCACACTTGGTGCGTCAGATCCTTCAGAGGTTCGGTCTTCAGTTCTCCTCCGCACAGCCCACACCTCTACCTGTAGACCATGGGCTCTCCGCTCCCATTTTTGAAGAGCCAATAGAGCCCAGTGGCCCCTATGCAGAGCTGGTGGGTTGCCTCATGTACCTGATGACTTGCACCCGCCCAGATCTCGCATACCCTCTCAGCATCCTGGCTCGCTTTGTGGCCACAGGCAGACACCGACCTCAGCACTGGTCGGCCGCTAAGAGGGTTTTGCGTTATCTTGCAAGTACATCGGCATGGGGTTAGTGCTAGGAGGACGCAGGCCAGTTGTCCTCACTGGGCACACAGACGCTTCTTAGGTAGACAACTCTGAGACTCTCAGGTCGTCTTAGGGCTACTGTTTTAGTCTTGGTTCGGGTGCTATCTCTTGGAGATCCACTCGCTCGTCGTCTGTTGCTCAGTCCAGCTGTGAGGCTGAGATCTACGCCGGTGCCATGGCGGCACAGGAGCTCCGCTAGCTTACCTTCTTGCTCACAGACTTAGATGAGCGGCCTAGCTCTGCCCCGGTCCTGTAGGCTAACAACAGGGCCATGATTCTCCTGTGTCAGGAGCCTCGGCTTGAGGGCAGAGCGAAGCATATCCAGCTGCGGTACTTCCTCCTGCGCGAGCTACAGCAGCGTCGCCAGGCCCGCGTAGTTCACTTGGCCTCCGGTGCCAGCACAGCTAATATCTTTACTAAGGCGCTTGCGCCTAAAGATCATCAGCGGCACTGTGTCCAGCTTGGTCTTGTTCCTGTAGCTTCTCACTTGTTAGGACCCTGACTTGTGTACTCCTCACTATATATATACCTGTCTGACTAGCCTTGTGGCTTTCCTCCCAGTGGCTGGACTAGTAGTGCCGCCCTGGTTTGCTTTTGTCTTGTCTGTACTCTTGCTGACTGGTCTTTGGACCCCTGCCTCAGTGGTTGGACTAGTAGTGCCTCCTTGAGCTGTGTGCTTCTTGCTTGCACCACCCCTTCTCTAGCCTAGGGGGTGTGTCAACTTATACATGTCATGCATGTAGAAGTTATAGGCTAGTATCGGTGTGTGCTCCTAGGGAGTACAACCCAATAGCTATATGTTCCTTGTTCCACCTTCTAATCATTGTTCTCGTATGCTAACAACAACTGCTCCAGCTCGCCTCGACCAGTTAGATCAGGATTTTGTTTCAGGCTGGAAATCCGTTAAGGCAGATAATTCAGGGTGACCAAAACAAGAACATACAATATTTCAGGCTTGCTCAAATGACAACCCCTAAAATTCAAGCCTAGGAAAAATCAAAAGCTGAAAAAACAGGACGACCCTAAAAAAAATCCCTGATATACAGCATTTCATGGCATTTTTGTCAAATGTAACTTAGGTTGTTACTGTTGGCTATACTGGATTATGCCTTAGAGGGTACAATACCCTAGTCTATATATCCTTGTACACGCACATTCTAGTCTCAATCATTTTCTTTCTGATATGGTATCATAGTAGGTTAGATCCCCCCCTAGCCCGCTCACGCTCCGCCCCTACGTTCCTAGCCGGCCCTCTGGCTGTCGCGCTTGTCCCTAGCCGGCCCCCTGGCCGTTCGCGCCCGTCCCTAGCCAGCCCCCTGGCCGTTCGCGCTCGTCCCTAGCCGCCCACCTGGTCGTTCGCGCCTGTCCCTAGCCGGCCCCCTGGCCGTTCGCGCCCGTCCCTAGCCGGCCCCCTGGCCGTTCGCGCTCGTCCCTAGCCGCCCCCTGGTCGTTCGCGCCTGTCCCTAGCCGGCCCCTGGCCGTCGCGCTCGTCCCTAGCCGGCCCCCTGGCCATCGCGCCTATCTCTAGCTGGCTCCCTGGCCGTCGCGCCCGCTCCTAGCCGGCCCCCTGACCGTCGCGATCGCTCCTAGCCGGCCCCCTAACCGTCGCACCCGTCCCTAGCCGACCCCTGACCGTTCGCGCCCGCCCCTAGCTGGCCCCCTGGCTGTCACGCTCGTCCTTTGCCGGCCCCCTAGCTGTCGCGCCCGTCTCTAGCTGGCCCCCTGGTCATCGCACCCGCTCCTAGCCGGTCCCCTGCAGCCGCCGCAGCTGCAACTGTCGCCGCAGCCGCAGCAATCGCAGCAGCAGCAGAGGCGGACGGGTCCTCTTCCGCCTGGGTGGCCCGGCACTGGTGGCAGCGCTGGACGTGGTGGTGGTGCGCGTGGTGGGCTGCCGAGTGGTGGTTCGGGTGCCGCGCGCTGTCGGTACCTGCTTCAGACCGGTCCTCGCCGTGGCTTCGTTTGCGGTAAGATCGGTCATACCTCCGTCCGCTGTTTCCGTCGCCTGGACGACCTATTTCGTCAGCGTTTCGGCCCGTCGCCCGAGCTCCCAGACTGGCACAGCTTGCTTAGTCGTAGGGTTCAGATTTTTTATCTGGACATGGATGCGATTGTTGCTGCTCTGCATGTGATGTATGCTGATGACTCTAGTGTGCTTCCGTCTTATTACCCCTTGTTGCCTAGTGTAGGTGTGCCTTGCTTAGACTCCTCTGCTGCGTCAGGCATAGGATCCCCTGCTTTGTTTAGCC